TATGTGTGAGGATTGTAAAACAGAACTATGCATAACGCCATGTTTCAGAGAGTTCCACAAATTGTATCAGTTCTCGGAACGTGTCCAATGACTATATGTGTATATATATATATTATAGAACAATAGTAATAAACAACTTTTTAATTGTTGGTTTATGTAAATAAGTTTTGTAAACAATGATAATATTTGTGCAGTTATTGTGTTGCATACAATGAGTGGATATATATACAGTATGCATTATATTGGCCTCACAGGCCACAAAAGTTGCTTGAAAAAAATAAAATATTAGAAAAGAAAGAGAGAAAATAGAAGTAAAAATAATTTTATCGAGTGAGTGGCAGTCGCCGATGTTGCCATCAGCGGTTCACTTTGTCAACTTCACGCCTCTATATCTCGGTAACTACTGATCGCAAAAATTTTTTCTTTTATAACACTCGGAAAATTCTTTCTTCTTTCAACACACCAGCCATATCCCACCGAGACGGGGTGGCCCAAAAGGAAAAACGAAAGTTTCTCCTTTTACATTTAGTAATATATACAGGAGAAGGGGTTACTAGCCCCTTGCTCCTGGCATTTTAGTCGCCTTTTACAACATGCATGGCTTACTTAGGAAGAATTCTGTTCCACTCCCCCATGGAGATAAGAGGAAATAAACAAGGACAAGAACTAGAAAGAAAATAGAAAACCCAGAGGGGTGTGTATATATATGCTTGTACATGTATGTGTAGTGTGACCTAAGTGTAAGTAGAAGTAGCAAGACGTACCTGAAATCTTGCATGTTTATGAGACAGAAAAAAGAACACCAGCAATCTTACCATCATGTAAAACAATTACAGGCTTTTGTTTTACACTCACTTGGCAGAACGGTAGTACCTCCCTGGGTGGTTGCTGTCTACCAACCTACTACCTATAACTCAGAAAATTTTTCTTATGATTTTGGTATTGTAATTTTTTTTTTTTTTTTTTTTTTTTTTGGGGGGGGGGGGCATATTTCTTGACACTGAGAGCAAGTTTGTGAGCAGGGGTCTCAACAGTTAGAGTTAATTTAACCCTTTGACTATTTCAGTCGTATATATATGTCTTACGAGCCAGTGTTTTCGATGTATTTATACTCAAAAATTCGAGCGACTTCAAATCAAGTGGGAGAAAACTGGTAGGCCCACCTGTGAGAGAATCGCACAGTGGGGCACCCTCATTGCATTGTGGGAGTGGTAATTCAGTGCCCCTTGGTCACCAAGCCAAACAGTAAGGAATGCCTCACTCTCCAGCGAATTGGGGCTCTTCCCTTCTCAAATGATAGTTCTAACACAGACTGATGTGTCGGTGAAGATGAATCTAATGGTTTTGAGGAATTTGTGACAAAGTAATGACTAGGATACCAGAAATAGTTATCAACCTTCCACCAAAAAAGTCAGTGACTTACTTGCATGTGGGTGGTGGGGAAGACAGCATAGTTGATGGGGAAGACAGTGTGGGTAGGGGGGAGGGTAGTGTGGGTAATGGGGAAGGGAGAGTCTGTGGTGGGGAAGACAGCATGGGTTTGTGTAAACAACATGGCTGGCTGATTGGCTCTCTGTCTGTATCTATATATTTGTCTGTCTCTATCGCTATGTACCTCTGTCTCTATCTACCTCTTTCTATCTCTCACAGGTACACATAAATACAGTTATACATAGTATAAATTACCTAGCATAATCCAAAAAATCCAGACAAAGTGCTATACTGTGCTTGTAGATATAATGTGTAGTAAGGCATAACTGGCAAGTGATATAAGAACATAAGAGTGGAGGAACACTGCAGAAGGCCTACTGGCCCATGTGAGGCAGGTCCTTATCAAAATGACCTCTCCCTAAAGCTATCCAAGAAATAATTCCTGTACCCAATGACACCAATCAAACCCAGCCCCTCCCACTCATATATTTGTCCAATCTCTTCTTAAAGCTACCCAAGGTCCTAGCCTCTATCACCCTACTGGGAAGATTGTTCCACTCATCTACAACTCTGTTAGAAAACCAGTACTTACCTATGTCCTTTCTAAATCTAAATCTAAATTTATCCAACTTAAATCCATTAATTCTGGTTCTTACCTTGTTCGACACCCTCAGTACTTTATTAATATCTCCTTTGTTTATGCCTGTCATCCACTTATACACTTCATTTATATCCCCCCCTCATTCTACGTCTCTCCAGAGAGTGGAGATTTAAGGCTTTAAGTCTATCTTCATATGGGAGATTCCTTGCACAGTAAATCATTTTAGTCATTCTTCTCTGTATGTTCTCTAATGATAACATGTATTTACACTTGCTTAGGAATCAGACTACGTCGTGTGTAATACCTGTTGGTTTACGAGTGGCACTCTCTGAGACAGAGAGACGGACAAGCAGAGACACGGACAAGCAGAGACGGACACTGACATGTTCATGTAACTCTGAAAACAAATAAAGCCAAGGTATTGCATGCTCATCAAATGTCACCACTGCTGCACTGTCAGCAGTGTGGAGTGACACTTGTCTTACACCATGCTTCATGGAAACATATTTTTTTCTTATTTTATTAACATATCGGCTGATTCACACCAAGGCAGGGTGGACCGAAAAAGAAAAACTTTCATCATCATTCAGTATATACTCCCACATATTCAAAACATTGCTGGGACCTATAAATACTATGTATATATTTCTTGACAATAATATGTGACTAAGAAACATGAAAATGTTCACCTTTTAATGTTTGTGCGGCTATTGTATAGCATACAACGAGTGAATATATACAAAATATGGCTTATATTGCTGCACAACCCATAAAAGTTGCATGAAAAATAAAATGTTACAAAATAAAAGAAAAGTAGAAAAAATAATTACCGCGTGTCCGGCAGTTGGCGATGTTGTCATAAGCTGTTCATTTTCTGTCAACTTCACGCCTCCGTATCTCGGTAAGTATTGGTCACAATTTCTTTTTTTTTTGGCCTATAACACACTCAAAAACATTGTCATTCCATAAGAATTTTTTTTTTTTTTTATTTCTCTACCCTATGAACGAGTTTACGATGGGGTCTCTCGACCCTGAAACGGTTAAGTTAATTGGTTTGAAGTATGTAGCTGAAATGGATCTCCAGGCACAGATTCCATATGCGAGGTATGGGTTAATAAGGAAAAAGTGTTTAGGAATATGAGTTGAATATAATAGTGAATTCTGGAGAATATCCCTACTGTCTTACCAACTCTAGTTTTTGTGTTGGATATGGCCATTAAACTTAATTTTTTTTGTCTATTAGTCTTAGGAATTTTCCCTCCTCTTCCTGTTCAAATTTAGTCTCATAGCTTGGTTGGTAGCACACTAGGCTCGTACATTGAGTGTCCGTGGTTCAGTCCCCAGTACAGGTGGAAACTTTAGGCGTGTTTCCTTACGCCTGCTGTCCCTGATCACCTAGCAGCAAGTAGGTGTACTTGGGTCTTAGTTGACTGGTGTATGTTGCATCCTGGAGGACAAAATTAACATAAGTTGCCTGAAAAGCTCTGCATAATTGGGGGGTTTCTATGTTGTGTGTGATTGGTGTCAGCTAGGTCTTTATAAGTTGTATCATGTACTTGTAAAAATAAATAAATATCGTTATTATTATTGTTTCAACAAACCAGCCATATCCCACCGAAGTGGGATGGTCCAAAAAGAACAAAAGTTTCTCTATTTAACATTAATAATGTATACAGGAGAAGAGGTTACTAGCTCCTTGCTGGGGCATGTTAGTCGCCTCTTAAAACACTCATGGCTTACAGAGGAAGAATTCTTTTATTGTTATTTAGTTGTGGACATGGTTTGTTCTCAACAGATATATACAGGGGCCCCATGACCTGGCTGGCAAAGCTCTCTGCACACACTGAGGGTCCAAGTTTGATTCCCAGTGGGGTAGAAAAATTCAACACATTTCCTTACACCTGTTGTCCTGTTCACCTAGCGAGTAGGTACCTAGGTGTTAGTCATCTGATTTGGGTCGCATCCTGGGGGACAAGATTGAGGACGCAGTGGAAATAAGATACAATCCCTCGATAACACACTGCCTTTCTTCGGTTATCCTGGGTGCTTAACCCTCTGGGGTTAATAATCTGAACAAAATCTTATCTCAATAGAATGTCTTTTCAGTGTTGAGTGTTAGCTTGTTGGTAATCATCCTTGTGTGGATATTTTAAAATTTGTTATTCACAAATAACAAAGAGGCACAATACCGTGACTGGAACGATACACAAATAACCCGCACATAGAAGAGAGGAGCTTACGACGACGTTTTGGTCCGACTTGGACCATTTACAAAGTCACACTGAGTGTGACTTTGTAAATGGTCCAAGTCAGACCGAAACGTCATCGTAAGCTCCTCTCTTCTATGTGCAGGTTATTTGTGTTTGTTATTCACTTTCATTGGACACAAAATCTGGATCTTATATTGACAAGGATCTCATCTAAGAGTACAGGCTTCAGATGCTGACAGTCGACTATTCTATAAGGGAACCAGTTGCCTTCATTTTAAATACCGCCTTTAACACCCTGATATTGCCTATGCTGTTTGCCCTCCTCACTTACCATTCCACCTTAGTCTGAATTCTTTGATTTTATTTTAACTGATAGATTTGCTGCATACTATGACCCTTCTGCTTTTGTCATTTTTCTTTCACTTGATTCTTCTATCTCTTCCAGCACCTTTCCCTCACACTTACCATACAATCCTGAATGACCCCTCAAAAGTTTACAACTTTCCACACACACATACATGTCTTGCTTTCTTTCTTTCAACACACCGGCCGTATCCCACCAAGGCGGGGTGGCCCAAAAGGAAAAACGAAAGTTTATCCTTTTACATTTAGTAATATATACAGAAGGGGTTACTAGTCCTTTGACACATACATGTACTGTACTATAATAAGAATAATACTGTAATGTAATAATAAACATTATTTTAATTATGGTAAAAAAACGGTACTTTATGAATTTAATGTGAAGTATTTTGCAGGCACTCGTATAACTACAATTACTTACGTGAAGTACAACGAAGGGATGAGCTTGATAAATATATGGCTGCAACTGGAAAATATGCAAGATACAGTGATGATCCTCGGCTCTACTCGATTGTTCCCTGTGGTGTTAGTGCCATTGTTGCTGCAGGTTTAGTTATGGCTGGCATCTGCTCAAGGAAAACCTTTGCAACAACAGTTGTAAGTATTAATTATACATCTTTGAGAATTTTAATGTTTTAATGGTTAAAGCATATTCCTCTAAGTATTTGCATAGAAATGACTACTAATATGTAATTGATAGTTACTGTATTGGTCTAGAACTTGGTTTTCAGTTTGTCAGAAGTGTTATTTTTAATGGATTTGACTTAACCTATAGGTAGTAGGTTGGTAGACAGCAACCGCCCAGGGAGGTACTACCGTCCTGCCAAGTGAGTGTAAAACGAAAGCCTGTAATTGTTTTACATGATGGTAGGATTGGTGGTGTCCTTTTTTCTGTCTCATGAACATGCAAGATTTCAGGTACGTCTTGCTACTTCTACTTACACTTAGGTCACACTACACATACATGTACAAGCACATATATACACACCCCTCTGGGTTTTCTTCTATTTTCTTTCTAGTTCTTATTCTTGTTTATTTCCTCTTATCTCCATGGGGAAGTGGAACAGAATTCTTCCTCCGTAAGCCATGCGTGTTGTAAGAGGCGACTAAAATGCCGGGAGCAAGGGGCTAGTAACCTCTTCTCCTGTATATATTACTAAATGTAAAAGGAGAAACTTTCGTTTTTCCTTTTGGGCCACCCCGCCTCGGTGGGATACGGCCGGTGTGTTGAAAGAAGAAAGACTTAACCTATGTCTAGAGTACAACATTGTTCCTACCAGCTTACATTTACAGAAAAGTGTGGGTTATATGCCTAACTGTATCAGCAAGATGCATCTTTCCATCTTCCTTGGTCTATAGTTCTATAGTGATTCTTGAATCCAAGAATGAATTGTTTTACAGTTCATTTACGAGATGTTCATTTAGTGGGATACAGGTAAAATATGGAGTAGCTTTCCTTTCCCCTACCATCTCATGGAGCCTAATGAGGCTAGGCACAGGGAACAACCACAGTACCAAAAGGGGTATATACAGGTTGGCCATCACTAATCCGGCAATCAGTAATCGAGCACTAATTTTGGCTAGCACAATTTCAGATTTCTGGGATCGCCACACCAACCTGCCGCTACTGTATGGTGGCACTACAGTGGAACCTCTACTTGCGAGTTTAATCTGTTCCAAGACCTTGCTTGCGACTGGATTTGCTTGTTTGCAGAGTCAATTTTCCTTATTTAAATTAATTGAAATGCAATTAATCTGTTCCGGTGGAATTCTGTACTTCAATAATTTCGCTAATATCAACTCTACGGCTTATTTATGTCTTGCTACATCTAATATGACATAAACAGTATAAATGACACAGAAACCTGATATATACTCTAAAATGAATAAAATGTATGGTAGACCTAGACCGTCATTTAGCACGAGTTTGACTGAATGACTGACTTACTGAACAACTTGACTGACTTGCTGAACGACTTGACTGACTTGCTGAACGACTTGACTGACTTGCTGAACGACTTGACTGACTTGCTGAACGACTTGATTGAATGACACTCCAGTACAACCATCAACTTCAATACCAGAACCTCTACCATCCACCTCAGACCAGTAGGGCCACAACATAACTCTCCACTCTCTTCACAATCATCCACAAACACCAGCACCCACAATCTAAGGTAAGAAATACTATTATTTCTGTTACATTTGTGTACTCTGAAACATAGCCAAGCAATGGACCATTTCTCCTACGTTGAGCTGAATTTCAAGGTACTTTTCATTGTGAAAGCATTCAGAATCATATCTATTTCTGTAATATATATTCCATTCTATCAAATGAGATCATAAAACGAGAATACAAACATAAAAACCATACGAAAATTCCGCTAAGGGGTGGCTAATTGCTGAGAAGTGAACTCCATTATTTATGCTTAGATTTCTTTCATTTTTGGTGTACGTTAAGAAGCATCTTTCCATCATACATTGCCCAAGTTTCAATAAGATAGTCCAACAAACAAATGAGATAAAATTCCCGAGAGCAAGAGCCCCTCACCAGTGTCAAGGAACCTGCCTTGAGGTCTGCTCGCTTACGGAAATTTTGCTCGCGTATGGAAGCAAAAAAATCAACCCATCGACTGCTCGTATTTGGAAAAACTCGCACGTGGACACGCTCGCAAGTAGAGGTTCCACTGTACTTCCTGCATAAGTCATTCCAATTTCCTTTTCTCTATTTATTGTTATAACTTGGTCACTTTTAGCCCTAGCCATAGTTCCAATTAATAAAAGCAATGCTTCTCATTGTGTAAACCTCATACACCGTACACTGTCCATTAACCCCTTGGCTGTCGCAACCCCAAATCCTGAGGCGTCTCCTGGTGTCGCAAAATTCCCCCCCCCCCCCCCCCCCCCAAAAATTACTTTTTCTTATGAAATGATAGAGAATCTTTTCCCGATTGGTATGACACCAAAAGAATGAAATTTGATGGAAAACTGACAGAATTATGCTCTCACGAAGTTAGCGACCACGGCGATATTTACGAATCGGCGATTTTGCCGACTTTGAGACCTATTTTTGGCTAATTACATTGTTCCAGTCGACCAAACTCATAGCTAATTCTTTAGAACTCCATTTTTTCTATCGAATGAGTACAAGAAACCACCCATTTACCAATTTCAACTATCCAATACAGTAGTCAGAATTTAGCAATTTTGCCAATTTCACACAAATTTCAAAAGATGCCAATTTCTAAATAGGGTCCAGAATAAACATGAAAGACATTCCTGGCACTAAAATAACATTTCCTCTGTTTATTAGTCACATCCCCATGCCCCTCTTACATTCTTTTGCTTTCCACTTTGAATTTTTATTCTCACAAAAAATAGAAGATTTACTGTTATGCAGACTACTGCATTAGTGTAGAAATGGTATAAATAATATCAGCGCACTTGTGAAGGAATATTAGATTCACCAGTTGACGTGTATTGGACGCTTAGCATGATTTGTTTACTTTTGATCTTTGGTAAAAATCAAACATTTCTGGTACTTTGAGCTCACTTTCAAGGTACTTTTCATTGTAAAACCAGTCAAAATCATCTCAATTTCTGTAATATGTCTTCCATTCTATAAAATGAGACCAGGAAAACTAGAATACAAGAATAAATACCATACGAAAATACAGTGCAAAGTCGCCGTTTTAATCCAAAAACACGATCAAAGTTTTTTTTCTCATTATGCACTGTGTGCTGCAGGATTTTTTTATACTGCGCACACTGACCACATAGACCCATTCTTTCATATGTAGGCCTAACAGCTTTCTCTCGCTAGATTTGAGGGCGCTAAAATTTAGGCGTACTAGTACGTCAAAAACCCTGGTGCGTAAGCCATACTAGTACAGTGGACCCCCGGTATTCGATATTAATCCATTCCTGAGAGCTCATCGAATACCAAAAATATTGAAAAGCGAATCAATTTTCCCCATGAGAAATAATGGAAATCAAATTAATCCATGCAAGACACCCAAAAGTATGAAAAAAAAAAATGTACCACATGAAATATTAAGTTTAATGCAATAGAATAATTACAGTAACAATAGAATAATAACAATAGAATAATTGACACTTAACTTTAATGAAGATCTGGTGATGATTGATGGGATGGGAGGAGGGGAGAGTGTTGAAGTTGTTACTGTTTAGAAGGGGAATCCCCTTCCATTAGGACTTGAGGTAGCCTGTCTTTCATAGGCTTATGTCCTGGGAGTGCCTTTTCCTCCTGAGTAATGTAGGTCCTGCTTGGCATTTTCTTCCAAAACAGGCCTGTTTCATCGCAATTAAACGCTTGTTCAGGTTTAAATTCTTCACTGTCTCTGTAATCCTTGAATTCCTTCACATATTTTTCAGCTGCTTTTTGGTCCGAACTGGCAGCCTCACCATGCCTAATCACACTATGTATTCCACTACGATTCTTAAATCTTTCAAACCATCCTTTGCTGGCCTTAAATTCACTCACATCAGCACTAGTTGCAGGCAATTTCTTTACCAAATCGTCATGTAACTGCCTAGCCTTTTCACAAATGATTGCTTGAGAGATGCTATCTCCTATCTGTTTTTCATTTATCCACACCAATAACAGTCTCTCAACATCTTTTAACACTTGCGGTCACTGTTTCGTAATCACAGTTGCACCTTTTGCAAGAACAGCTTCCTTGATTGCCGTTTTCCTGGTCACTATAGTAGATGGTTGATTGGGGTTTACTATACAACCTGGCCAGCTCCGACACACGCACTCCACTTTCGTACTTTGCAATTATTTCTATCTTCATTTCAATAGTCAGTAGCACCTTTTTTCTCGAAGGGTTGGCACTAGAAGCTTTCTTGGGGCCCATGGTGACTTATTTTGCAGAAACAAGCACCAAAAACAGTGATGATATGGAATGTACCGAATGTATCCTTAGATATGCGCACACTGCCTGGCTTGTAAACACTGGCACACATGGGGCAGTTCAGGCCACACGTCTCGTATGTATCGCATCGAATACCGGGTTTTTGATCGGATACAGAGGCGAAATTTTTGCGTTAAAATGCATCGAATACCGGATTTATCGGATACCGATGCCATCGAATACCGGGGGTCCACTGTACGTCCGAAACCCTGAAAGGGTTAATTAAAAAAAAACAGTCGGAGTTTCTTTTTTCTCATTATGCACTGCATGCTGCAGGATCTTTTTTTATATGGTGCACACTGACCACACAGACCCATTCTCACATGTGGGCCTACCAGCTTTCTCCTGCTTGATTTGAAGCCGCTAGAATTTGAGTATATATACGTCAAACACTGTGGCTTGTAAGACGTATATATACGACCGAAACAGTCAAAGGGTTAAAGATAAGGTGGCTTTGAAGCCACTGTCGGTCACCTTGAGCTCAGCTCACTCTGATAAGCCATGACTGGTAAATTTGGGCCTACATATGAGAGAATAGGTTTGTGTGGTAAGTGTGCACTATATAAAAAAGAATCCTGCAGCACTCAGTGCATAACAAGAAAAAACTGCGACTTTGTTTACGGTGTAAACCTGAGTTTGAGATATATTTTCGTATGGTTG